GATTCACCCTGGGACCCACAGTTCCCAGAGATTATCATAAAACTCTTGAGACCAAGGGGGTCTCTGGAATAAAGGGTTTATTAACTGTTACAGATGTATCCAGATCTAGGGATAAGCTCGCACAAATTCCAGCAGTAGGGCTTAAGATAGAAGCAGTGCCCACTGAACCTAGAGCTACAAACATATTCGTAACAAAAAAATTGGAGGGCTGGGGTTGTGGCTCATTGCTAAAACACTTGCCTTACTCATATGAGGCACTGGGTTTGATCCTCAGCACCACATATATCACATATAAATAAATAAAATAAAGGTATTGTGTCCATCTTCAACTTAAAAAAATTGGAGAAGAAAAGCACAAGCTGTTGACCTTGAACCTATCTTGGCTATAGATAAAGAGGGCAGGACAATGTGAAACAGGGAAAGCTTGGGGATAGCACAGTCCATAAGGCACAGTGATGGTTGGGTCTGGATTAGCTGGAGCTGAAAGCAGAATGAGGTGGCTCTTAGAAGGTGGGGATGGGATTTGAGTGAAGGTTTTAATAGACATTCAGGATTGTGAAATGAGCGTTTCTTGGCAGGGGGTGGAGGGGGGTTTGGCTTGAGCAACTATAGCGCTTGTAGTTAAATTTAGAACATTTCAAAATTTGTTTTTTCTTATCCACCCACTCTTAGAGAAGAGGAAAAGAGGTGCGGAATAGCTAACAATCTGTTCATGGTCACAGAGCAAATGAGAGGTCTAATTGAAGAATGATAAGGTTAGGTGGCACCTCAGAAAGTAGATTTTCTTTATGTTGTTGTCACTAGTAGTATTTCAATTAAAAAATTTGCAAATTATTAGACATAATTTGAAACCTGGAACTAGAGCCTGTATTTCTTTTATATTCTCCCTTATACCTGGTTCATTGTTCACTGGACCATGGGTCCCCACTGTGTAGGGTCCCTTGAGCTAAAGACAGTTAAGAAGAAGCGGTGCAGAAGAATTCTCTGCCTTCCCCCAGGTCCCTAAAGGCAAGACAGAAACTTTTAAAGATATCACTCTCTTCTCTATTTACCAGGAAGGACAAAAGTGAGTCACTGAAACCTACTGGAGACCCCCATCAGCTGGGTACCACATCAGAACAATCTACAAAATCAATCTTACTAACTAGCCTTTATCTCCCAGTGGTTTCCCCATATATTTACCTTCCCACAGTTTCCTAACTGTGGAAGCCTAACATGGCTTTCTTTTGTCTTGTCACATCTCCAAAATTTATTGTTCTTTGTTGAAGATGTTATATAAGCCAGAGTTCTAAGCCATGGCTTTGAGTTATCTTTCCTGGAGGTTTCTCCTGAGCAATGTGCACAGCACACATTAATAAACGGCCTTGTTTTCCTCTCATTAGTCTATCTTTTGTCTCCAACTTATGGGAACAGATTTATGAGGTTTGAGAAAAAAATTACATTTTCTCTCCAATAGGACAAAGTGGATATTCAGTAAATTCTAACTGATGAATTGGTCAATGCATTAGGCCTGCTCATAAGTATCCTACAACTTGGTTCTCGTAACGTCTACTATAATATAATGAAACATAAAGTCATTCTCTAAGGTCCTCCTTTTCTCTAGAGCAGTGGTTCTCAATCAAGGGTGATTTTGCCTCGTAGGAGACATTTGGAAATACTTGGACACATTTTAAGTGTCAAGTTCTATTCCTGACACCTCCTGAGTAGAGACCGGGGATGCTACTAAACCTCTGACAAAGCACAGGACAGTCCCCAAGACGATAATTTATCTGGCCCCAAATGTTAACACTGCTGCTGTTGAGAAATGTAAATTCAGAAAGCAGCAACATTTGGAAAGAGACAGATTGAACTGTAGAGCCCATTTTTCTTTTGGAAAAATTTGGAAGGCTTTCTTGCCTTGTATTTCATATAAATAAATACATTTATTAGGGCAGAAGTTACAGCATCAGGGTCCATAACATAAATCTAGCTTGTTTTGTTTGGCCAGCATGTGTTCAAATATTTTAAACGTGTTACCAACACTTAAACAAATACTTTTTACCTAAAGATCTGAATTTCTGCCTTTTCTTGAACAATCAGAAGAGCTGGAAACACTGGCCTCTTGTTATCATTTGAAAGAAGTGTGTGTCAAATATTTAACAACTGGCACAGTAGGAAGTCACTCAGAATGGACACCTGGCCTTCCTGGATCAAGGTTCCCCAATGGCTGGATCCTGCGATTGGCACTGTGATTGGAGCTGAGGAGTGGCGGCTCCCTCTGGGGACGTGGACATTTTCTTCTTTCTCCCATGTGTCTCCTCATTATTGAGGCATGGTCTATTGTCACTTGTCATTGCATGCTTACCTTCACATTTTTCTTATTAGATTGAAGGGGAAAATTATATCTTTCTTGTCTCTAATTAAAACATTTGAAAAGTTAAAAACATGAGACTACCTGTTTCAAGGGGGAAAATGTTTTTATTAGCTTGCTTCATTCATTGAATTTTATGCTTAGCTACTACAATCTTGAACTTGGAGTTCCTGTTTGGCTTAAACAAATTCTTAAACAAATGCAGAAACTTCCCAGGCTGGCAGGAAGTTTTACCTTCTTCTTCTTCTTCATTTTTTTTTTTTAGTTGTCAATAGACCTTTATTTTATTTACTTATATGTAGTACTGAGAATTGAACCCAGTGCTCCACACATGCTAGGTAGGTGCTCTACCACTAAGCCACAACCCCAGCCCAAATTTTACCTTCTTGAAGCTTCTTTGCTTCCTCCTGTGCTGAAACCAAATCAACTGCCTGGGAATCTGTGCTGGGGATAGAGTAACTAAGGTGAGCTGGCTAGTGAGATTCCGGCAAAGCAATTAGTGCAACACCTTGGGGCCACAGATGGAGAGTGTCTTCCAAAAGATGGGTGAGGCAGGGAGGAAGGAGGCCTGTTGGTGCTTTTAGCTTCATCTGGGCCCTCATTTCCTGCCCATACCTCTGCAGGGAGAGAAAATTTGGAGCACAGAGGATTTTCAGAAAGGCAGGGATTCTACACTCTGGTGGAGTTTGGTTAACCAGAGTCCAGCCTGAAGGCCTTGGAAAGGCAGGGTCAGAGCATCAGGAGACAGAGGGACTTGACAAAAAGAGAGGTTGAAAGGCAGCCAAGGAAACTTTGATTGGCAATTCCCCCTCAGGCCTGGTGGCAGCAGCCATAATGAGGCACCGACAAGTGTTGGAGGTTTTGGGTACCTTCCCCTCAGCAATTATTCCTTCACACATTGTTCTGAGCAGTGGTTCAGGTGGAAGTGAATCCTGTACTGGAGCATAAATGCTTATGTTTGCAGCCCCTACCATTTTTTCAAGGTGAGTCTTAAAGAAATTCCTGACACCTCTAAAGTTTAATTTCAGTTGCCCAGAGATGGACCATTAATTCTGCTTTAAGTGGTCTTCTGGGATGAAGAACTATATCTTTAGCATTTGGTACCAAAAAGAAATCCCTGACTTCTCCAAAGCAGGTCTGCCTTGCTCAGAAAAGTATACAACAGGAGAATAGAGCCCTGGAGATTAAGTTAATAACAAGAGCAACAATAAATCAACAAATCATCCTTTATTGAACAAAATAAGGGTATTAAATTAAATTTTTAGGAGGCTACTGGTTTGGACTGAGCTCCTGCTCCAGGTTCAACAGACCCAACCACAATGGAGTTACTCATGCTGAAGTTTCAGGCCACCAAGCCAACACCAAGTTGTTTATCTGATCTTCCCAGAAATCCAGATAGAGAGAAAGAGATAGTAGCCAAATCCTCACACAAGCTAATTTTGGGTGGCACAAGGAGGAAGTCCCCTCTGCTTTAACCTTTATAAGAAAAGTAACTTTGAAATAACTGATTGGCATGTTGTTCTCTTTCTGCTTTCCTCCCTATTCTTCTGTCCATAAAGTTAATCTCCTCTGCTCAGCTCACCAGAACCCTCATTCTCTCTGATAGAATGAGGTGTTGGCCAATCTAGTCATAAATGAGAGGTCATTCAGATCTTTAAACTAGATTTCTTATCATTTTGTCATTTGACAATTCTTATGTGCCAAGCTCTGTGCTAGACAATTTACATATATCACTTACAATCTTTAAAAGGGTTTTATCAGGTGGGTCTAATTATTGCCATTTTACAGATGAGGAAGCAGGCCCCACCTGGCCTGAGCTGAGCTCTTACTTGGCCTATTTGAAAGAGACCTTGGGGAAAATCTCTCCCTGGAGAGTAGGATGATAAGATTTTCTGGTTCCCAGGACATTTGCCTAATTAAGTCACTGCTGTGACAGCTGATGGCTATCAATCATCTGCCACTTACTGTGAGCTGGGCATGCACTTGATAGATCACTAATTCCTTCCCCCCATTTTTTTTTTCAAATAATAAAATAAAAGCTTGGTCAGGTTAAAGTACCTGCCCAGTGTCAGAAGAGCATGTGACAGAGTCAAATTGGCAGCTGCCTCTCTTGACCTCAGCACCCATGCCCTGTCCACTCTATGCTGTATTCTACCCCTTCCTGAATATGGTCTGGAAAACCCAGGACCTGGTTAAATCCTGTAATTTTACCTTCTGTGGTTGGAAAGAACCCATTGTGACATTTGGTTTTGGATGTAGGATAATCCTGTTGAATCTGGGGTTCACTGGGAATTTTTCTAGATCTCCTCGTGTGTACAACTTCCTCCTTTGGTGGTTTGCAAGGGGCACTGGAGGCTAGGTTCCCCAAAAGCCAAGCCTCCCCTGAGAGGCATTAAAGTCTGTCTTGGCCTGCACAGAGGAGGCTGAAGGGGGATGAAAGCAAACATACAATGTCGACACTTCCCTCCTCTCCATCCCCACACTCCTCGTTCTTATCAGCAAAGATCTCAAAAGGCTCTGAGGTCTGTTTCTGCCGAGTCTTGGACAGAGGTGAAGCATTGCATCACCAGTACCCCGGGGTAGGGCTAGGGGTAGGGTGACAAGCAAAGCCACACTGAGGCCAGCTGGTGAGAAGGACTCCACTCCTTACCTTGGTAAATGTGAAATTCACAGATCCGCCCTTGAAATTCAAGAAAAGGCTGGAATTTCGGGTCCCACAGTTCCCAGAGGCTTGGGTTGTGTTGGGGTCGATGTTGAAGTATCTCTGAGGTGAAAAAGCCTAAACCGAATAAGGAAGATCAGCTTAATGAGAGCGAGAAGAAAATTCGAGCAAGGGAGTGGAAGCACAGACTAGTAAGTGAACTAAGAGGGCATTCACTTGAGAACTGGGAAGACCTCAGATGGAGGACATCCTCTCTCTTCCAAACTCATGCTCCAAAGCTTTATTCAAGAAGGTATTTACCTGTGACAGGAGCTCCCTGACAGGTGGCTTGTGGTGGAAATATTCTTGATAAACTTGTGGAATTTAAATTTGTTCAATTAAGCAAGTTGAAAGATGAAGGATCTGTGTTCTGGGGTACTCCTGTTTTCAAATGAAAATCTGGGTGTGAAAGTTTTCTTTGAAATTATAAATACTATGAAAAAAGGAAGGTTTTATTTTATGTTGATTTCTTTCTTTATTTTTGTAGCAATGATAATTTATTTTAATATGCTAAACCAAAAATTCTTTCTTTGAAAAAAAATCTGAATTCTGTACATGCAGGGTTGGTTTAAATGACCATAATGTATTTAACAAAAAACAAATTGTTATAACTCATCTTATAAAGATTTCTATATAGAGAGTAGATGCTAAATAATTTTGCTGAATGATCAGATATTTAAAAAAATCTACAGTTATAAAACAGTTAAGTCCATAAATTAAGAATACTGTGAATTTACTTAACTGTACAAAAGAATCATTCTCTGATTTCTTTATACATCAATTAATTCTAACCCTTCTCTCCATTCTTTTTTTAAAAAATATCTATTTGTAGATGAACACACAGTATCTTTATTTATTTTTATGTGATGCTGAGGATCAAACCCAGTGCCTCACACATGCGAAGTAAGCACTTTATCACTGAGTTCCAGCCCCTCCATTCTTTTTTGGGGGGAGGTGGTACCAGGGATTGGACTCTGGGGCACTTGACCACTGAGCCACATCCCCAGTCCTTTTTGTATTTTATTTAGAGACAGGGTCTCACTGAGTTGCTTAGTGCCTTGCTTTTGCTGAGGCTGGCTTTGAACCCATAATCCTAATCCTCCTTCCTAAACCATCCAGAGCCACTGGGATTACAGGCGTATATCACCACGCTGGACCCAATCTTTTTGTTAATCTGGATTTTCATATTAATATCATGGTGGCCAGAACTGTGGAGAGTGTCTGATTCAAATGTCTCATGTCTCTGGTAAGAGGCTGAGGGAAAGTCAGGCAGAGGGGTGTGGCCAGCACCCCACTTACCACTCCCTACAATGCCGAGTTAGCTAGAAGTCAGAGTATGCATATTGAAGTTCTCATTGTGTGCCTTCCTCTCTATTTTTTAAAAACATTTATTTTTTAGTTATAGATGGACATGATACCTTTATTTTATTTAATTTATTTTTTATGTGGTGCTGAGGATTGAACCCAGGGCCTCACACATGTTAGGCGAGTTCTCTAACACTGAGCCACAACCCCAGCCTTCTCTCTATTTTTGTATGTTCTCTAAAACATATTTGCCTTTTAAAGGAGCACCTTGGAGAAAAATGAGCTCATGGTTATATATTTCATTTAAGGACCAGATGCAGGGGATTGTGCATTCCTAGCAAGGCAAATTCCCCTCACAGATTTTAAAGGTGGCATTATAATCTTATGTCCCCAACTTACCGACTCCTTTTCTTGAACAATCAGCTGTATCCCCATCTCTGCTTTGATACAGAGCCTGCTTCCATTTAGAACTTGGTAAACTCCGGTCTTGGCTGGTGATGGCTGAGGTACAAGGGTGGGCCCAGGAACTATGGTGGCAGGTGGGATTGTTTGGGTGACATTGTGTGACCCTGGGGATGTTCCCGGGGCATGGGTGAGTGGACTAGGCTTTGGACTGGTTGTGCTTTTGTGAGGTATTGTAGACAAAGTTTTGGGGAGAGTGGTCTGTTCACTGGGTTGGATGGTCTTCCTAGTTGTATGGCTGACAGCAGATGTACTGGTTCCAGCTGTAGGGGCTGGTGGTGTGATGGGTGACTCTGAAGGAGTCAAGGTGGGGCCAATGGTGGCTTTGGTAACTGGGTGTGACTTGTTGGGTGTGGCCAGGGTGAAGGTCACTGGGCTGGCGGAAGGGTTACTTTTTATTGTTACTGGGGTAGCAGGGAGAGTTTTCATCGTTGTGTTTCTGGGGTTCTCAGAGTTGGAGGTTTTGACAGCTGTTGGAGATGTGATGTGACCCTCCATTGATCTTGCTGCCACTGCTTTGTGAGGCCCTTGGTGAGTTAGCTTTGCTGTGATCTGTCCTGTTGCTACTTCCGTGGGCTGAAGATGGTGTCTGCTTTCTGGAAATGCTGTTGCTCTTATTGGAGGACCATCATGTAAAATAACTGCAAATTAGGAAACAAGAGTGTCAAAACATCAATTGCTTACAAGTTTCCTCTTCCATGTTGGTTTTTAAGAAAAAAGACAATGTACATGTTTTTAGATTTTAGGGAAATTTACAAGCTCTGACATTCCTCTGCAAGAAACCTCTTTGTTTACACAGGATGTGGCACTCATGCACCCTAAAGTGATCACACTCAGCTAGAGCTCTAGGTGTGTACGCCTCTTCATTTCCCACTTTTAAATGTAAAACCAGACAGTTGACATCAAATAGTGCTCCTGCTGCTGTGATGTTCTGATGGAACCCGGCAGCATGTCTATTGGTAATAAAATATACAGAGGGTTTTTAAAAAAATTTTTTTAGACATTGATGAATCTTTATTTTATTTATATGCAGTGCTGAGGATTGAACCCAGTGCCTCTCACATGCTGGACAAGTGTTCTACCACTGAGCCACAACCCCGGCCCAGAGTTTTTTAGTTCTCATAGAATCAAATAATCCCAGGTTTGAAAGGGAATTTAAATGTCATGGAGTCCAAACTCTAATCTGATGCATGAATTAAACCTATGAATCTTTGCTCTATGTTCGTCTGATCTGTGCTTAATTTCCCCTAATGATGGGAGACTCATTTCTTCACAATATAATCCCCTTCATCTTTTATCTTGCCAATCATAAGTTTTCTAAATATAAACCAATTCCTGTCGTTTTTTCTTAAACTTTTGTATGGCCCAGTCTTTCTCAGCCAAAAAGGAAAAATAAGGTGTGATTGCTCTGACTCTTTAGGAGGCCTGTCCTTCATGTCAGCTCCTCAGACAGCATTCCCTATCCTATGGTCCCAACCCCCATGATTCTCCATCTCAACATTATATTCATTGTTTTCACTGTATGAATTACAATTTGTAATTATTTCCACAGATGGTATTGGAATTAAGACTAGGGATCTGCCTGGCCAGTGGGTACCAGCAGAAGTTCAGCCCTGAAAAAACATGTATTTATTGGTTTATTAATTTTTGCGCATGTCTTACTAGACTAAAAGTCACTAAAGGTGGGAATTTATGTGTATAATTTCACCACCAGTGCCTGTGTGTAGAAATTGTTCAGTAAATCTGAGCTGAATGAATAAATGACCCAGTGGATAAATGAGAATGATAGCCTTAGAGGTCTAGGGCTATCATAAGGCTCAAGTGAGTTGGTTTTAGTGAAAGCTTCAAGACTACTGAGAACATACATGGTGTCTACTGTAGTCACAGTTCTTTCTGGGGGTGTCTTTCAGCATGAAAGAGCTCTGGCTTTCTTTCAACTAGAGCAGTTCTATCTTTGCTTTCTCTAGGCATATAACAATCCAGAAAAGTATGCAAAACACAGGCTCAAATGGCACAAAATGACCTTGGGAACCAGGTGTGGTGGTGCACACCTGTAGTCCCAGAAACTTGTGAGGCTGAGGCAGGAGGATTGCAGGTTCAAAGCCAGACTCAGCAACTTAGGGAGACCCTGAGCAACTTAGAGTTCCTTTCTCTAAAAAAAAGAGTGTGGAGAGGTGGGAATGGGGATGTGGCTCATGTGGTTAAGTGCTCCTGGGTTTAATCTCAGGTTTTAAAAAAAAAATGTCCTTGGGAGTCTGATCAGGTACAGAGGGAGAGAGTTCTGTCCTCCAATTCTGTGGTTTCATTGTATTTATTCAGACCCTCATTGGAGCCATTGTTTCCAGATGTTGGACTGAGACTTAGGAAAGCATGTGGAAAGGGAAAGGAGAAGGTTCTACATTGGTATTTATAAAGTCCTAATAATCATATCTAATAAAAATGATCCATAAACACCTTTTTATCTCTTTCCATTCAATACATTTCTAAGTGGTTACTTTCTTCCTATTAATAAATAACAATAAATTACCAAATTACAGGACATTTACTACTTGTAGGCCTCAGATCAAAGGTTTTTTTTTTTTTTTTTGTTTTTTTTTTGTTTTTTTTTAATGAACTCTTCTTAAAAATCCTCTGGTAGAAACTATCTTTATCCATTTTTCAAAAGCAGAAACTTGGGTTACAAAATTTCATCAACTTGATTGTAATCGTACAACTTGTCAATGTTGGAGGTGAGACTCAAGTTCTTATACATCTGAATCAAAGCCTGTATTTGGATTTGGGGAAGTGTGAAGGTATAGTGTGTGGCTGGGAAGACTGGGGAATGCAGAGACAAAATCACAGGAGAGAGGTCCTTTGCAGTGACCCTAATTTACCAGCTTCTCATAATGGTGGTTCTTGGTGAAACCTTCAAAAGTTCACATGTTGAAATGGTGGTGAAAACTTCAGGAGGTAGGGCCTCTAGGAAGTCCTCAGGTCTTTGAAAGTGGGCATACTTTTCAGATGGGAACCTCACCCCCTAGAGATTTAGTAAAGGTCAAGGTCACTGCTCTGTCTGCCCAAAAAGAGGGCAGGGAACAGGATGGAAGGCAGGGCATAGCTCAGAATCTGTCTTGACCCTCCCTCTACTCAAAAGAACATAGCATTGGAGTTCACATGCTAATTTGCCAACCCCCACCTCCACTCCCACCCCAGAATTTGCTGTCCAGGATTCAAGAGGCTCAGCAAAAGAATGCCCCAGGGCCTAGATCCATTGCTCTGACTCTTCTAAGAGACTGTTAACAGGAAGAGGTGTGAGAAGGTTTTAGTTCCCCTACAACCAGCAGAAAGAGCTGAGAGCTGAGTCATTGCCCAGTCCCTGGGAAAGTCAGTGGCCACACAGGGGCTCAGGATGACCACTTCTTTAGTTCCCCCCCTCCCACAGGTCCTTTCCAGACAGACTTTGGTTGGTTTCCTGCCACACTCAACTAAACAGGTATGTAGAGCCCTCCTCTGAAGGTAGGCTCCATGCCCAGCACAGGGGCTGGGTCTTTGTTCTTGGAGGCTCAAAGCCTTGTGAGTCAGATGCACGATTTCATTTATACTCCTCAGTGTGATAAGTGTTATTATTGAAACAGTCCCAGGGGGCCAGGGGAGTATAGGGTGGAGCATCTCATCAAGGATAAATTCTTTGGGCAGTCGAGATAGAAGGTACTCCAGACAGGAAGAGGAGATGTGCTGTGCCTTGAGGCTTGGAGGCCTGGGATATTGGGAGGACAGGAAGAGAGCCTGGGGAAACAGGGATAGTCAGCAGGAACAGGCCTTGGAGGACACATTTTGTCTGCAGGCCTCTGAGGAGCAGAGTGTGTGTGTGGGGGTAATTGGAGTCCTGACCCCAAGTGCAGGAGCAGGGAACCAGATTTTAGCACCTGACCCCAGCACCTTGCTTGGTACTTCCTGGGGCAGCTATAGCAGGGACGGTCATGCCCTAGAACAGAAGGTTGGAGACTGCTGGCTGACTACTTCAAAATCTTGTCTTCTTCTGTTCCTTAGGAACAGAATGCTGAGTTTAATCTCCACACTTGTTTCCTGGAGTAAAGAGCCCTTCATCCAACTCTCCCTTCTTGAGTGGGGACATGATCAAGTGTTAGCCAAGGCAATAGAAGCAACAGGGTTATGTGGGCCTTCCAGGAAGGCTGGTTGAAGGGAGCTCAGTCACCTGGGTGGCCTGCCTCTCTGTTGCACATCTTTTTTCCTTTCAACAACCCTGTAACTGGATGTCTGCAGACATCCAGAACCACCAGGAGACCTTGAAGGTGAAAGTCACACAAGATGGTGGGTACCTGAAGATGAGCCCCTATGCTAGAACAGGTCTGAATTCCTCTGATTTGTTTTCACAGGAGAGAGTTACAAACAATAATCTATCTGTTTCATCCATTGTCATTTTGGGCTTGTTGGTTTTATACAGGTGAACCTAAACTTAACAGATTCTAATTTAAATCTTCTCGTTTTCTGAAGCAGGAATTTGAGGCCAGGAAACAAAAGTCTTAGATAAAGATTACTCATCTGGTTTACCTAGGAGCTATATCTTTCCTAGCAAGATGTCTAATAGTTTAGCTAATCTCCAATTCAACTAGTTTGTTTTTTTTTTTTTTGGTACCAGGGATGGATTAAACCCAGAGGGGCTTAATCACTTAGCCACATCCTCAGATCTTTTTATTTTTTATTTTGAACAGGGTCTCGCTAGGTTGCTGAGGCTGACTTTGAACTTGTGATCCTCCTGTCTCATCTCCTAAGCCTCTGGGATTACAGGTGTGTGCCACCATGCCCAGCAACAAGTATCTCTTGTCTCTTGAGCCTCTGCACATACGGTTGGGTAGTGTGGTAGTTCAGGGCATGAATCCCAAAGCCAGACTTCATGGATGGCAATCTCCATGGGCTGCCACTTACTAACAGGGAGTCCATGAACAATTACTTAGCCTACCCCTATCTTAGGATTCTTATCTGTAAACTGGGGAAGAGAACAACACCTACTTTTCAGAGTTCTTAATGAAACTAGATGAATTAATATAGGCAAGTAGATGCACATATGGAGCCCTTAGTTTTTCTGCTATGAGCATGGCTCTGGTTCAAAGCTCAAATCTGTGCTTTGTGACCATTAGCAAAATTTTAAATCATTTTGTGCTTATGTTTTCTGAGTAGCAAAATGGAGATGTTGCCAGTACTTACAACCTAGTGAGACCCTGTTATAAGGTTTAAAGAGCTCACAACAATGCTGGCCTACAGAAAGTACCATGAAGTAGTGATCACTCTGTGCCCATAAGCCCTGTGCTGGGAGAAGGGGGTTGCAAAGATGACTGGAGAGAGGGACATGAGAGAAAAATACAGGAAGGGGACTGACCCAGTTAAGCAAAGCACTTTCACAATTGTTTTACTGACTTGCTCTCATGTTGTCCTCCCAGCACTCCTGGGAGAAGACACTATTTTCCCCACTTTTCAGTGAGGAAACTAAACAGCTGAAAGGTCTGTTTATAGAAACAAGGCCTCCCTGCTGGTAAGGGTTGAATCCTGGGGCACTGATCTGCCTCATGGCCAGATGTGGCTCATGGCTCACCCCTGAGGAAGATCCTCACACTTCTTTCACCCCTTCACACTGAGAATTACAGCTCAGAAAGGAAAGGGCATTTGCCCTCATTTGCCTAGCTGGCACTTGGCCACACTCAC